TATTATAATAATTGTTGTTTTTTTATTTATTCATTAATAATCTTAATTAACAATAATTACGAGTAAGTACTGTATGTACTGTATATAAATGACGGAATTATAAAGTAACAAAGTTTAAAAAAAACAGCTTCCTACTTTTTTGGAGTCGGTTAAAAACCCTTACACAATTATTGCTTGCGTGTGACTCAGACAAACTGGTAGGTATTTATCGTATTCAAACCTTACAATAATATAGTGGCGTAAGCGATATTATTTTGGTATACTTGTATACAAAGCAGCTGTGCAGATTTGTTTCACGCCATTTCACGAGACCTACATACCAGGAGAATAAGGAAATGTGATTTTATGTCTTCTCTGTTGATCAAAACATATTGTCTAATCTTACGCAAGTGTTCCCTATTATTAGGGTTATCAAATATAGAATAGAATAGAAATAATCTTTATTCAAATAAAATTAATATATACATATTTTGAAATAGTAATATTTTTGTTATTCTACCGCTCATTCGGAAAGCAGACTCATCACAAGAAGAACGAACAAGATACTTGCGTGTTTTTCTTTTAAATAAATGTTGTTAAGAAATTATATTTTTAAGGATGGTGTGTGAATACAAACTACCAAATAGCAAATATATGAGGATTATAGTCGTCTTCGAGATTTGTGATCTTCGATACGAGGTATGATGAGAAAAATAGAACCATTTTAAACCTACATATATTAAAATTTGATTGATCACTCCGCATAAGGATATTTATAAACAATATTTGTACTTCCTTCAAAATTGTTCAATTCGAGTATATTCAAATTCTGGCTAATTCCGAAATTGAATAAATATACAACAAAGAAATTTCAATATGGAATAAATGTACAACAAAGAAATTCCAAAATTGAATAAATGTACAACAAAGAAATTCCTAAATTGAATAAATATACAACAAAATTGTGTCAACATTAGTGATTATAGCACATGGGGAATTAATTTGAAATTTCACTATCGTGAGTATACTAGAATCTTGTATTCAGATTAATTTGATGTCCTCCGTGGTCTAGCGGTTTAGCACACCGCTTTACTTCCGATGATCGTTGGTTCAAATACTCGCACGGTGCAAACATCTGTATTCATGAGTATGATTGTTTGTTCGAGTGTTTTCTACGTATATAATGTATGTAATTACAAAAAAAATGAATTTTAGCATTTCTATCTGTTGTTCAGTACCCATAACTAAAACTGTGCATTCCTTGGAACCAGATAGCACTATGTGTAAATATCCTTAGATAATATTTAAAGTATACTATAAAGTACAAATATATATATATAAAATTCTCGTGTTACAATGTTAGTTACCATACTCCTCCGAAACGACTTGACCAATTTTTATGAAATTTTATATGCATATTCAGTAGGTCTGAGATTCGGCTACAATCTATTTTTCATACCCCTAAGTGATAAGGGTTTTCCAGCCCTAACATTTTTTTTATTTTTGGTCAATTTATTTTTATAATGTGGCGTTAAAAATACATATAACCCTACATTTTCACCCTTCTATAACCAACCCCTATTTTTCAATATCGATTTTAATCTATGGGTCAGCTAGTATAAATATATATATAATATACTTAGAAACAGCATTTCACTAGACGCATATTATTCAGTCACGTTCAAACAAAATAAACATCCCATGATGTAAAAGTGCCTCGTCGTAGAGACGTCTCTATGTCATTATATTACAGCATCCCTACGGCAGCGAGATGTAGGTCACCCTCTACCACTGTAATTTGCGTTTTATAGATATATTTTATGTAGTGACATTTCTTCCTTCGTGGCATGAAAGTTTTTATGGCAAACGTGCTGACTGCAATTTATAAGCAATAGTTTTTTTTATGGTTAGTTGGAAAGGGTAATTAGTATTCACAAAACTAATTCACTTCATTGACACATGGAGATGAAATCTTTACATGGTATAATAGTCTATGCATAAATAGTTCGCGTTACCGACATAGCCCGAAGAATTGCAAAACTGAAGTGGCAATGGGCAGGATACAAAGCTCGTAGGACAGATGGCCGTTGGGGTAGTAAAGTCCTCGAGTGACGACCGCGGACTGGAAGACGCAACGTCCCACGTTGCGTCTTCAGACCTCCAGCAAGGTGGACCGACGATCTGATCAAGATCGCTGGATGACATTGGATGCGAGCAGCGCAGGACCGATCGTCGTGGAGATCTTTGGGGGTGGCCTTTCTTCAGCAGTAGACGTCTTCCGGGCTGAGATGATGAAATAGTTAGAAATTGTAATTAGTATTCACGAAACTAAAAAAAGGAGCGGTTTTCTGTTAGAATATATTTTTTGTGTGAACCGATATAATTTTTTTTTAACCAGCTGTTACCCATATGTTTTGGTGGTCAGGTTTCTGATGGAACTGATGGTCTCTCACATATATGTTAGTAGGTACTGGCGAAGAGCAGTTTTCTCGAGAAACTAGAGCTTGGGGTTTTTCTAGAAGGATATATTAAGGTTTCTTAAGAGACGCCCCTGGTGTTTCCGGCGTACATAGGCTACGGTAACCATTTACCCTCAGATGGGCCGTATGCTTGTGCCCCACCATTGTATATATATTTTTTTTATATATCATGCAATCAGTCTTCCAGACTATAAGCAGATTTGCTGACTATTTGATATCGTGAGAGGTGATTCTCCATTGAGAATCCAGCCTCAGATATTCCAGCTTATGCCAGGTTGTTGAAGTCTGGTATTTTACGTCTCTTAAGACGTGCCATATAATCAGGCAATGTCACTTGAACAGCAAGTTTATTTGGATGTCTGTCCAGCTTGATTTTATATTTTTTTATTGTTTGAGAGATTTCCTCCTTGCCAGAGTTGATACCCAGATGGTGATGAACCTCCGAGTTACGAATAAACCAGGGTGCGTTACAGGTTTGCTTAAATATGTAGTTTTGAGCTCTTTGAATTTACCATTGTATATAAAGAAAAAAAAACAACAAAAAGTAATTCTCTTGCTAATAATGCATAGTATCAAAGTTTAGGTAAATTGTTCACAAATTTCTAAGACCATCATAATACCACGAAATTTTTAGATATGTAATACTGAACAACATTCAAAAGAGCAACACGCAAGTTTCTTTCTCATTCGTTTTGTGATAATCTACTTTTTTCATCAATAAAAATATTATATGACTCTCCAAAAGTAGTATTGTGTTTATTTGAATAAAGATTATTTCTATTGTATGCACATGAAACTCAAACCGAAATAACATAACCATCATTCAAACACTTGGGCATGTTTATTGGAAACAATTTGCTAGGTTTATTTTCTAACACGCACACTAAATTCCAGATATAACTATGTGCAGATATACTAAGTATTGTATTGTTACGGTGTACCATTCCAATTTTATTAATAACTAGTTGACCCGCGTAACTTCGTCTGCACACTTACTTGATATTTTTCCATGTCCATGTCGTCCAATTTACACAATATCTAGATATTTAATTATATATAGATTATATTATATTATTATATTTGTTATGAGTAACTAAGAACCTAAAATTAAAAAGCTTAAAAAATATGATATAATGACTAAAATATATAAAAGGAGTCTCTTTAGGCAAAGTTCCGAAGATACTGGCAGCGTTCCCTCTTTGAATAGCTGGACTAATTCTTTGTCCAAGGTAGCTGCCAGCTCTTCGGTCTTCTGTGATGTCGACTAACCTTTTAACATAATATGAGATATTCTGATGTATAAGCTACATTATTGTAAAGTTTCATCAAATTCTGTTCAATAGATTTAGGCTCAAAGAATAACAAAGATCCATCCATTATCCATAGTCACAAACTTTCGCGTTTCGTATGCGTCACACTTACTTGACATTCATCCCTATATCGCCCAATTTACATAATAACCTTTTTAATTATAGCATATGTGTAATTCTGAAATATTGCAATATGGACTCTATTCTCTGCTAATAGTCTCACATTTGGTCCGTAGTGCGTGTTTCTGAAATATTATAATGTACATTACTGTAAAGTTTCGTCAAAATCTATTTAATAGTTTTTGCGTGAAATAGTAACAAATATACACACTTAAAAATTTCAGCGTTTATAATATTAGAAAAATATATCGTTCATATATCAAAGACAGAGAGTATGGATAGATGGACTATCCATACTCTCTGTCTTTAGCGTTTATAATCGTAATATTAGAAAGATCAGCTGACTCTCGCAACTTCGTAGGCGTCACGTTTTCCCCATTTTGCAACATCTTCAGTACCCATAAGTAATGGTAAAAAGCAACGAATATCTGCCAAAAACATCTGAAAAAAAAATTGTAGCGGTGGTGTCCCTTTTTATTTTTCTTTAATTGATAAACATACAGAAAGAATAGAAAATTCTAGAATGAAACCAATATTACATTACAACACAAACTTGTTATAGTACTAAAACGATTAGCAAAGTATTTTAAGTCGGGATTGTTATTGTAGATAACAATGAATAACCGATTTACAAAAGAAATAATCGACTTATCTTTTGAAATTTAAAATAAGAAAGTACTTTTTTATCATAAAGTTATCTTTTAAAAATTAAAAGAACATTAAAGTTTTTTATCTTAATGTTTATATCCGGCGGTTATCACTTATCATCAGGTGAGCCGTCAGCTTGTTTTCTTTGTTTAGCTTTGCAATTCTGGTTGACTTTAAATCAAAAATGTCTGCTTACGATAGCGATATTTTTAAGGGGTTTGACAATTTCAAAAATTGTAAAACGGAATACTGTATTTTATGTGTACGTTAAAATACTATCTAAAATAATATATAAACATGTACCTATTGTAAGTAGATAAGAGAGAACTACGTGCATACAGACAAACCCCGACAGGAGTTTTGCAGGATAGTAGAATAATAATATGTAAAATTTGAAAATTTATCTATCTATCTATTAATGAATTATACGTTTAATACTTATAATCAATACGATTTGTTACAGATATGCTTCAGTCGTTATTGCAGCCAAGGGAAAACCAGCGGTGTAAGTATACCATTGTACCATCATTTCATTCAACATGGTGAAAATGTCCTCAGCATCATTTTCACCAAGGGTTAATTTTAAAAACTCGGCATATAGGGATCATATTTTTAAGGAAGGTGTTACATATGAATGTGATACGGTTATAAGGGCAGAGGTAGGCTGAAAAAGAGATGGATGGACTGTATGAAAGATGATATGGTAAGAAAAGGTGTAAATAACGAGATGATTGCGATTCATCTCTATGAATGGAAGAGAAAAACATATTACGCCGACACAAATAAATGGAATAAGGAAGAATCAGTTGATGATGACCGCATGGTACCAAATGCTCACCTGTTTTAGTCCCCATCGATAATTTAACATCCCCTCCAGAGGAACACATTATACAATTAAAACTTTGGCCGTATCAAATCGCGGCTGAAGTACTACATAATATATTTATAATACAAAAAAAATGGGACAATAACAAACAGTCGAGAAACAAATAAATTTAATTAAAAAAACAGCTTACTTTGTAATCTGTCTTTTAAGCAGTGATATTACTGAATAATCTATATGTTTGTATCAGTTATCTAGTACCCATAACACAATATATGTATTTGTATCAGTTATCCCATAACACAATATTTAGTAAGCTTAACTTGGGTCTAGATGGCGCTGTGTGAATTGTGCTATGATTATTAGTCTCAATAACGTTCTGAATTTGATCACCAATAGAGAGGGTCGGAACGCTTCCAGTAGTGATGATCAGGCTTCCACACTATATATTTGTGGTCTCACATATGCACATAATGGTAGTGGAATTAAACAAAATAATAAAAATGTATTAAGTAATGAAATGGAATTACGTAAAATAACACTTGATTGGATAAAATATTTATGAAAGCATTTGACATTATATTGAATTGTACTCATAAAAATTATTAATAATAAAATAGTGAGGAAAATAAATAAGGCTGGAATGAGTTACCAGGAACCGAAAATGAGTGGGCGTCTGTCTACATGGTAATAATAGGCTGCATCCTCCTTATATGGAGAGATTACATGCCAACTAGTGTGATGATGTCACGATTATGATGATTAATATTATTTCATATTAGCTGTTTCCCCGACTTCGCCCGCGTCGAAGTAAACTCTATTTTTCTAAAATAAAAGTAGCCTAAGTTACTCCTTATTACATCAGCTAACTGACAAAAAAATCCCGTCAAAATCGGTCCAGCCATTTCGGAGATTACCCGAAACAAACAGACAGACAGACAGACAAAAATTGTAAAAAATGTTATTTTGGTGTCTATACCGTATTTATATTCATATGCATATAGTAAAAAACGGTTATTTCAATATTACAAACAGACACTCAAATTTGATATATATGTATAGTAATCTATACATATATATCAAACTGGAATTACACCGCAGTCACTCGGTCGGTTTCGGTGGACTAGCGGTTTAGCACTCTGTCTTACTTCCTTTGGTCGTGGGTTTGCTTCCTCGCACAGAACAAACATTTTTATTCATTATTATGATTGTTTGTCTGTATGCTTCCTATGTACATAATTTTGTTTAAATTCGCTATTAGCATGTGTGAGATCAGAAAAATTAGTGTGAAAACTTGACTACCGTTACGACCTTCTCTAATGGTGATCAAATTCCAACTGTTATTAAATCTACACCCATATCGTATCGATCTGGGTATTTTCTATGTATTTTATATATGTACAAGCCCCGGCATCGCACAGGTGTACATGTATTATATATATAAACCTTCCTCTTGAATCACTCTATCTATTAAAAAAATCGCTTCAAAATCCGTTGCGTAGTTTTAAAGATTTAAGCATACATAGAGACAGACAGCGACAGCGACTTTGTTTTATACTATGTAATGATGGTTTATAAAATTAATAATATATCTAAGTATTTGTATCATTTGTCTAGTACCCATAACACAAGCTCTGTTTAGTTTGGGACTAGATGGCGCTGTGTGAATTGTCCAGGAGTAATTATTTTTCCAATTATATAAAAAATTACTTCGTATCAGATTTATATATTAAAGTCAGAGATGGCGCAGTAATGGGCCAATCCATTACGATGTCGTCCTTCCATATCGGAGACCCAATTTCATAACGAGGGACCGCTTTTCTGTGATCTCAATAGATGCATTTATATATTTATGTTATGTATAACTAGCTGAGTCTGCGACCTCTTTCTTGCACATGCAATTGTTTCGTAATGATAAATGCACAGACATACAAACAAAAATATAGTAAACATTTAGTTTTAATAATAATAATATCAGGACGATTCACACAGCGCCATCTAGACCTAAGTTAAGCTAGCTTTAGCTTGTGTTAGAGGTATTATATAATTGATACATATACATACATTTTTTTCGTAAATACATGCATATTATATATAGAAAACGCACAGACCGATACGAACAATCATACTCATGAATACAAATGTTTGTGCCGTGCGAGGATTCGAACCCGCGACCATCGTAAGTAAGACGGTGCTAAACCACTAGACAACCGAGACCGGAATGGTTTAGTTTCTGGCAGATAGATAAATTAAATTAAATATTTTTTTAGGAATTCCATTTAACTTTCAGCAAAAATGATCGGCGCGATGCCAGCAGTGGCCGTAAGGCATGAGAGGCGGCGGGCGGAGAAACGGGGCGGTGGTCGCAGACCGTCGCAGCTCCCGCTGCAGCTCGGCCGACCCATGGACGCCGATGGCACACCCTCGCCAGACCACAATCGGCTCCGGAACGAGCTCTATGTCTGCGGAAAGGTACATTCATTAATTTGGGATTAATTTTTTTTTCGGATTACTCTGTGCTGTTTGCCGCATTACAGCTTCACCGGATGATATGGGACGTGCAGATGGCACTCCAAACCAAACTTATATAGAATAGAATAGAATAGATATAGAATAGGTGGATCGATCGGTTTTTTTTCGAACTCCTCTAATGCTGTTGGCCGTAGCTGACCTTTACAGCTTTGCCGGATGATAGGTGGTGAGTGCAGATGGCACTCAAAACCAAAGGTAGGACTTATGGAGCGGCGGAACGAGCTCTATGTCTGCGGAAAGGTACATTCATTAAAATGGGATTAATTTTTTTTCGGACTACTCTGTGCTGTTTGCCGCATTACAGCTTCACCGGATGATATGGGACGTGCAGATGGCACTCCAAACCAAATTTAAATAGCGATTGAAAGTCAACTTCCGCCTGATGGATACGACTTTAGTCTGAGGCTAGGGGTTCAAACCTCGGCTCAGGCCGTTGTAATTTCGATCCCCGTTTCAATAGGACGGTGGATCGATCGGTTTTTTTTCGGACTCCTCTAATGCTGTTGGCCGTAGCTGACCTTTACAGCTTTGCCGGATGATAGGTGGTGAGTGCAGATGGTATTCTATACCCATGGAAAGACTTATGGAGTGGTCGAAGGCCAACTTCCGTCTGACCAATACGACTTTAGTCTGAGGGCATCGCTAGGGGCTCGAACCTCGGATCGGGCTATCGTAATTTCTATCCCCTTTTGGGTAGGACGGGGGATCGATCGGTTTTTTTTCGGACTACTCTAATGCTGTTGGCTGCAGCTGGCCTTTACAGCTTTGCCAGATGATAGAGGGCGAGTGCAGATGGCACTCCAAACCAAAGGAAGGACTTATGGAGCGGCTGAAAGCCAACTTCCGCCTAATGGAAACGACTTTAGTCTGAGGACAGCAGGCTAGGGGTTCGAATCTCGGCTCAGGCCGTCGTAATTTCGATACCCATATGAATTGGACAGAGAATCGATTGGAGGGGAATGCGGGATTGGTGTGTAACGAAACGACTGTATTAACTGAATGATGCATGCGAGAAATAGAATACGAATGACGTGAGAATGGATATAATAATAATAATAATAATAATATCTCAGGACAACTCACACAGCGCCATCTAGTCCCAGGCTAAGCAGAGTTAATATTATGAGTACTCGAAAACTGATATAAATACATAGATACATTACTTTTTTGTAAGTAGGTACATACATAATATACATATAAAACACCCAGACCGATACAAACAATCATACTTATGAATACAAATGTTTGTACCGTGCGAGGAATCGAACCCGCGTCGAGCCATTTCAGAGATCAGCCGGAACAAACAGACAGAGAGACAAAAATTTTAAAAAGTGTAATTTTGGTGTATATACCGTATATATATTCATATGCATATAGTAGAAAACGGTTATTTCAATATTACAAACAGACACTCCAATTTTATTTATATATATAGATGTATAGAAGAAAAGCAAGACAACGTAAAATTATGAAATTTGAACTATGTATAAAAATGTTATGTCAAAGAGAATAATGAACCGAAAGCGCTAAGCGATGCTAAACTCGATCCCTCAGATTTCATCTAATAGACTGTAATAGACGGTTTTATGAGTTAAATAGGTACTTACTTTACATCATACTGAGCGGCCTGCTAATTATTTTACGCCTAAAAGGTTTATAATTATGTTTTGCGTATCATAAATAACTGCAAAGTGACAAGGGTAGCCTTGTGCTCTATAGGGCGAAAGTGCACAAGGGAAATTGTTCACTAAACCATAACATAGTGCTTTGTCTGTCTACCACCGTCGAGTAGTCTGCTAATGTCATCTAAATAATGTCTAAATAGATACCTACTTGAAATAGTAACTGGAAAAATTAAGACTTTCAAAGCGACTTCAATAAGGGTGTAGTTAAAAATCGGACTATCAAAGCGACTTCAATAAGGGAGTAGCGAAAAATCGGACTATCAAAGGAACTTCAATAAGGGAGTAGTTAAAAATCGTACTATCAAAGCGACTTCAATAAGGGAGTAGTTAAAGATCGGACTATCAAAGTGACTTCAATAAGGGAGTAGTTAAAAATCGGACTATCAAAGTGACTTCAATAAGGGAGTAGTTAAAAATCGGACTATCAAAGTGACTTCAATAAGGAAGTAGTTAAAAATCGGACTATCAAAGTGACTTCAATAAGGGAGTAGTTAAAAATCGGACTATCAAAGTGACTTCAATAAGGGAGTAGTTAAAAATCGGACTATCAAGCGACTTCAATAAGGGAGTAGTTAAAAATCGGACTATCAAAACGACTTCAATAAATAGAAGTTTTGTTAGAATGACTTGCTGGTTTAAATTTTGTGGATATATTTATTGTCATTAAGTTAAGATTATTACAGGAGGTAGCAATGTTGTCAAGAATACAATAGAAATAATCTTTATTTGTATCAACTCAATTTTAAGTACTTATATTTTTTTTTTTTTTGTTTTATCGCTCATTATGAAAGACTCTTCTTTCGAACATATCTTTAAATATATATAACTCAAAGGTGACTGACATAGTGATCTATCAGCCCAAACCACTGGACGGACCGGGCTAAAATTTGGCATGCAGGTAGCTGTTATGTTAGGCATCCGCTAAGAAAGTATTTTGATTAATTCTACCCCCAAGGGGATGAAAGTTTGTATAAAACTTTGTCAATTTTAAACCGATCGGGCTGAGATTTTGCATGCATAAAGCTACTATGACTTAGGCATCCCCTAAGAAAGGATTTTAATAAATTCCACCCCTAAGGGGATAAATTAACGCGAGCGAAGCCGCGGTCAAAAGCTAGTGTTATATAAACTTACATATTTATAACTATATGTGAATACTAAATTACTATGTACAATATCAACCAGCGTAATTTCAAATCAAATTGGTTTTTTATTAATTTATTCAATTTCCACAATATAAACTTACAGCTAATTGCCAACACGTTTATATTTTAAAACTTTTTAATGGACTTTGTAATGTAAGGAGAAATTATCGTATGTTTACCCTTGAATGTATCTTTTTTGTATATCTTTACCAATAGAATATATATAAACAAGAGACCAAGAAGCGTGGTTTGCAAACTGTATTTTGATTGTAATTGATGATGATGATTGATGTTAAATTGGGTGTGATTAGGCAGTGAAACTAAAGAGTAAGAGGCATGGCAGGCACTTTTAGTCTTTCAGAATGGCAAAGCATAGGTATTGTCAATTGCCTCACGTGATAACGTGATATTAACGTATATACATAGGCGATGAACACAACTGACTATTTTTTTTGTTTGTTGTCATCATTAACATTTACAGAGTGACGAGTGGGACTTTGTACAAAAATTTCTATTTATTTATTGTTTACTTAGGTTTATAGACGATGTATAAACATTTTCCGTCAAGTGGGCCATCAGGAATTTTCAATGAATAATAATAAAATAATCTCAGGACAATTCACACAGCGCCATCTAGACTCGAGTTAAGCCAGCTGTGGCTTGTGTTATGGGTACTAGATAACTGATACAAATACAAAAATATTTTTTTCGTAAATACATACGTATTATACATAGAAAAGACCCAAAGCGACACAAACAATCATACTCATGAATACAAATGTTTGGGCCGTGCGAGGAATCAAACCCGCGACCATCGGAAATAAGGCAGTGTGTTAAACCGCTAGACCACTGAGGTGACCACTGAGTAGTCTTTTTTTATTTAATTACATTAAAATGCTTCTTATTTTCATCCCATACTAGTGTGTTAGTACTATTATAAATTGTATCTCTACTTATTTAAATTATTAACCGGGTCTTAACATGAATAATTTTATGGCAAATAAAAGGTATTTACTTCTCTCGACGTTTCGACTAGGTTGCACTAGCCGTGGTCACGAGCTGACTGGAGTAACAGCGATGTCAATGTAGATAGGTGACAGCAGTTTTTTCTTCATCTACCGTCACTAGATTGTTTAACGAAAGTTCGCGACACACAGCACTCACGGTATCCGTACACTTATTGACTATTGATGCTACTGAACTTTGCTTGAATTTATTTATGACTGGATTCCACGCAGATGATAATTTTAAGTCATCCTCTCTGTATCTCTACTTCTGCTAAATATGCACAAATATGGTTCCCAGGTGGCGGCGTTACATGCAGTGGTAGGATCGCTGCTGCTGGGCATCGTCGTGCTGGTGGTGGGGTTGGTACAACTCTCACCTGGTGCGGAGGCAGCACAGCATCGGTTCTACCTGATGGGGACCGGTGCTGCTCTAGTTGGATCAGGCATCCTTGGGGCCGTGTTAAGGTGAGAAGTACTAGGAACACATAACACTTGAGAAAGTAACTATCTAGCTACTGCTACGTTATTCTGGTTACGAGAATTTTTTAACGGTTGGATACCAGTGGAGGATGAGAATGAAGTAACCGATTCCAATTCTAGTTGAGACCGCGTGGAGGTCGACCTTACATAGTACATTGCTAACAATAGGACCACTAAATCACCATTCCCCTACTTTTAGTTCTTGTCCTTAGCTCGTACTGTCTATTGGGGTGGAAGGGGAGGGAGGAATTGCATCCTTGGGGCCATGTTAAGGTCAAAAGTACTAGGAACGCATAACACTTGTGAATGTGACTGTCTAGCTGTTGTTTAGTATCGTTATTCTGGTGGAGAGGATATTATTTATGGTTGTTAAAGTACTAGTGGAGGATGATAAACATTAGAATGAAAGCAGGTCAGTTAGTCCGTCATGGCGAATTCACTAGAAACGAATCACTTTGGTTTCTAGCTAAGACTGCGTGGAGGTCGACCTGACATGGAACATGGGGACAATGAGACCACTAGTCCACATTAGTAACAATCTATCAATATATATAATAATCTATCAATATAAATAACAACAAACATGGCGGCCCATCGCTTGCAATTATACAAGGCGCAGATCCGGCCGCACTGTTCTCATCTCTGGGCGGGAGCACCTCAATACCAGCTACTTCCATTTGACCGCATTCAGAACCGAGCAGCCAGAATCATTGGTAATCAATGTCTATGTGACAGACTCGACCCATTGGCTTTGCGGCGTGATATTGCATCTCTGTGCATTTTCTACCGCATATATAACGAAGAGTGTTCTGAGGAATTGTTCGGATTAATACCAGCTGCTGAGTTTCACCACCGTACCACCCGCCAGAAACTGAAATACCATCCTGATCATCTGGATGAATGGCGGTCTTCCAAAGTGCGGTTTTCTAGAAACTTTTTGCCTCACACAACCACATTGTGGAATCACCTTCCAGCAATGATATTTCCGAACCGATACGATATTGAAACCTTCAAGAAAAGAGCTTATTCCTTTTTAAAAGACCGACAACGTAGTTGCAATTCCCCTGGTGTTGCGGGTGCTCATGGGCGGCGGTAATCACTTACCATCAGGTGAGCCGCATGCTCGTTTGTCCCCTGTGTTATAAAAAAAAAATCTTCCATCGGGGGGAGGAGATTGTTAGCAATGTGGACTAATAACCCCAATGCTGGCAATGTACCATGTCAGGTTGACCTCCATGCGGCGGTTGCCCTGGATAGTATCGTGGTAAATTGCCAAATGCCAAGATAGGTTGTCAAACTTGACCTCATGCTCATTTTATCATTCTCCACTGGTACCCCGCCAACGAAAACCGTAATTGCAAACAGGTGCATCATTCCATTGTCATCCATAATAAATCAATCTTCTCCCCTACTTTTACTTCTTGTTCTTAGATCAACTGTCTATTAGGGTGAAAGGGGGACGGGGTTGTTGCGTCCTTGGGGCTGTGTTCAAGTAATAAGTACTAGGAATGCATAACATACGAGAATGTTAATCTAGAGCTCTAACTTCAGCAATTCCTCATTCGTGCCAGCGATTTCACCGACTTGAAATTTATAGTCTATGTGTTATTCAGATGTATAAGCTATATTATTGTAAAGTTTCATTAAAATCCATTTAGTAGTTTTTACGTTAAAAAGTAACAAATTTACACACTTAAAAATTTTCGCGTATATAATATTAGAAATATTATCGTTCATCTAAGCTTGAAGAGAATTTTAATTCTGCTCAGTAAAGTTGAATAAAAAAGCAATTTGACATTAAAGCCCCTATTACACTATAACTACAGAGAAGTGCTAACACATAGCTGAACATGACACAGCTTTTAGTTAATTAAGGCTTCGTGTACATAGTGGATGATACTATAAAAGCCTACATTAAACTGAACGGACGCGGTCTTAATGTCTATATAGTATTCTTCTACTTTGACTATATTACTGTATCGAGGTACACTTTGAACAAACTCAGTTTTTTTAGTAATAACTATCCCCGGAAATGAATGCCAGGCTTGTTACCTTAATTTATTTATACACTAGCTGTTCCTGCGACTTCGTCCGCGTGGAATTTAACTTTATTTTCTAAAAGTAGCCTAAAGAACTAAAAATTAATTTTGTTCGTCTTAGTTTATTCCTTCCATTAGGTACTGATAGGTTCAAACTAATACATTTACATCCTGCATCAACCCTTAGTGGAAAATCTAAGAAGATTTATACAAACTTTCATCCCCCATTTTATCTCCTTAAGGGTGGAATTTATCAAAATCCTTAGGGGATGCCTACGACATAATAGCTTTATGCATGCAAAGTCTCAGCCCGATCGGTTTAAAATTGACAAAGTTTCATACAAACTTTCATCCTTTATTTTATCTCCTATAGGGTAGAATTAATCAAAATTCTTTCTTAGCGGATGCCTACGTCATAACATCTACCTGCATGCCAAATTTCAGCCCGATCCATCCAGTGGTTTGGGCTGTGCGATAATCAATCACTATGTCAGTCAGTCACCTTTGAATTATATATATTTAGACTTATTTACTACAGTATACAGGAGTACTTTAAAACTTGAGATTATACATTTCCTATAGATATATACAAAGTTTTATTTTGTTTTTATATTCTAAGTTTTTAAAAGATTTTTTTCATTATTTATAAAATTTCTTATTACTAATGTTTGCTCTATTCTTATTTGCTATTGTCTTAATTATATATCGTCGGTTGTATAAGCGAACAAAGCCTGCGCCAAAGTTTATGCTGCCGGGACACCAGTGTAAGATGAGATGAGAGAACTCAGTTGGACTATATAAAAATTTAGTAGAAACTATCTAGATATTTCTTTTGTTGATTTTTTGCCTGTCAACCAGATTGCATTTGGGCCAATAGTACCAACAAGGGGAAAGGGGATTAGAATAGAATAGAATAGAAAATCATTTATTCAAATAAACTTACATTGAAGCACTTTTGAATAGTCATAACATTTTTTTTAATCTACCGCTCATTCGGAAAGCTTTCTCATCACAAGAAGAACGAGCAAGAAACTTGTGTGTTGCTCTTTTAAATAATTTTATTCCTACTTTACAATTTAAGTTTAAGTGTGTGAATACAAACTACCGATCAGCACTAATTCAATTAAATAATCATTGAGATTGTTAGTAATGTGGACTTATGATCTTATTGCTAGCAATATACCATGTCATGTTGACCTCCACACGGTGCCCTCTGGAAACCATCGTGCTAAATTCTTGGTGCATTTGTCATGATGGGTTAACGGACCTGACCTCATGCTCATTGGTACATTATGAGTTTGAATTAAAGAAGAAATCTGTGGTACTTTATTCACCTGCCTGAGAAAGGTTTGAATATCCCCAGAAACCAACAGAAGACTGTGTACTGGCAGAAATAGAAAGGAGATTGCGGGACTCACCGACCGGGCTAATTTGATGGTATATTGAAGACCTTGGGTGCACCATTCGTCCTTGAATCCCATTCCACACACCACCAGCAGTTATTTTCACAATTATAATGCACTGGACACGTGAATTCACACAGATTTTCTTGTCTCAATTAGAATATGAGTAATGTCAACTCAGGTATTAACGGCAGCCATAATGAATGCACATTTTCTTTTTTCGGGGTTCACACGCTCACGCAGTTAGTACCGGTTGGCGGGAATATTTGAATTTGGAATTGATTGAATGTTGGAAAAGGATGTCAGAACACTCATCTTATCATCTTCCACTGGTGCCCAGCCAGCGTAAACTGTTAGCGCAGGCGGGTGCACCATTCCATTATCATCCATAAAAAAAATAGTATCAACAGAGCATAAAGTGAGTATTGGATGACTCTGATTCTTAGGTAACGTAGTCTTGCAGAGTCTCGCAGCCCAATAGTGGAACGACCCATAGTTTGAGAAGTACTACTCTAAGGTATTAATATAATTTTATGGTAGGTGTCTGGCCATTTAATGGTATTAAAAGCTAACAATGCCATACGTTACGTCCAGCAAGGTGCGTCAGCTAAACGTAGTTTAATTTACTAAGTGAAGTCGCTGCAATTCCACAGATAAGATATTGTACTAGTTTCTATCGTTTGTCAACCAACTTGAAAATAATATCAATTACATACCATGTTAGTATGTAGAATTAACAAGTCATGTTATATTTTAGGATATTTTAAGGGTATTATATGGGTTCCGAACTAAATACGCTTCATTATCTCAGCCCGGAAGACGTCCACTGCTGAACAAAGGCCTCCCCCAAAGATCTCCACGACGATCGGTCCTGCGCTGCTCGCATCCAATGCCTATCAGCGATCTTGACCAGATCGTTGGTCCACATTACTGGTGGCCTTCCCATGATGCGTCTTCCAGTCCACGGTCGCCACTCGAGGACTTTACTACCCCAACGGCCATTTGTCCTACGAGCTGTGTGCCCTGCCCATTGCCACTTCAGTTTTCCAATTCTACGGGCTTCTGCGGATCTCCTCAATTCTGATTCGATCACGCAGAGAAACTCCGAGCATAGCCCTCTCCATCACCCTCTTATAGACTTTGATCTTATTCATGAGGCCCATAGTTAGTGACCACGTCTCTGTGCCGTAAGTCATCACTGGCAACACACATTGGTCGTAAACCTTCGTCTTGAGACACTGCGGTAATTTGGACGAAAAGATATATCGTACCTAAATACCCTTATTAACCCCAATAGACCCCAAAATTAATTCAACTTTAATAAAATAATATCATTTACAAACCGTGTTAGTATATAAGAACCGTGTCAGTACATAGAATTAACAAGTCATGTTACATTTTAGGATATTTTAAGGGTATTTAGTTTGGAAACCCTATGAATTCCGAACTAAATACCCTTATAAAACCCAATTGTTACTTCGTAATGGTTTACAAAGCTATTATTTTGTAACAAATAAACAAAATCACTTTCACATTTCAATTCAACTGACATATTTCTATTAATTCCAGATGCTTATGCCTTCACTGGTACAACCGAAGATTCCGCGAAGAGTACGACGATGAACCCGAGCCCACCACTCACAAGAACGGCGTCAGCGTGGTCGAGAGCGGCCACGGCCACCACCACAAATCCGACCACAAGACACCGGACAAAGTCACGCAGGAAAAAGCCGGCCAAGACAAGCCCAAGTTGAAAACTCAAGCTAGTGTGGGCAAAGACTTCGACTTAATCAAACAACCATCCGCGACCAGCGACACATAAGCTAAGATTTGACCAGTAGTACGAGTTAATGTAAGGTTCGTGTTGTACCGCTGTTTGTTTAACTATAAATGTGTGCGGTTGGCCTTTGCTATTTTGCTTCTGATCGTTAAGAAACATTTCCATTTTGCTCATTGTTTAAAAATAGGTTTTATTAATCATTGCAGTTATTACAGATATAAAACTTTCAAGCATAAGTAAAACGATGATGTATAGAATATTTATATTACAATATCATTTTCGTCCTCACTTCCATTTGACATAATAAACCTCAAACGAAAAACCGTTATATAAGGGTTACCGTATTTTCGATAGTGATGTTTATAACGGTAACCCAAACCCTATTCGTTTGATAAAATAAAATACTGGTTTAATTAACATTATCTTATAGATTTTCTATAGAAAAATATGTATTTAATAATATGCAAAGGCCACCGCGATTTCAGCGTAAATGTACGTACGATTTGTAATGGCGACAAGAGTTTTTGAAATATGCGTGACTGATAAAATAATGGTGAATAGGTACTTACATAATTGTATTTCTCGTACTTACTTTAGATTATTCCCTTCACTTCGTTCTCGCGTATCTCCTTGTATGTGATTCTCTCATTGTATATAATAATCATATTTATACAACGGTTTTATGGTACGCAAGAGTTATTAAGATGCTCCTAAGTGTTTTATTTATTTTATTTATATTGTTAATAATAACTAATGTCAAAGACGAAGCTCGTTATTTATAGAAACTAAACGTTAAACGTCCAGTAACCCTATTGTTGCTATCGAACTGTTATACCTAGGACTTGCGTCATATTTTATTCTTTAGAAACACAATACTAAAACACTGCAGTAGGTAAATGGGTTTGTATGATGTATTATAATTTTTATTCAAAAAATAGAAGTCCTTACAAGTATTTTATGAAACTTATTGAAATTTAGAACATTTATTTTTCTTGTATATTTAAAAAAGCTTACTTAACATAAAGTCGTTGTGAACATTACGTGATTTATTGTTTTTATATATATATATATGATACAGAGTCCATTACATATCATTTTGATTAGAACCTACCCTTATACCATTCAGTAGTGACCACTTCATTACATATTTTCAACCCCCCACAATTTTGTATCCAAAAAATAAGTAATCATCATGTATATTAAGAATAAAACTTTTTACGACGTTATTTTTAATATATTTTTGAGATTTTTACAAAAAATTAAATCCCAATTTAGACTTTATTTTTAAATATCTGAACATATTGGAAATTTATATCGAATCAAGTTAATCTACGGACCACTCTAAAAGTTATTCTTAAAAATTATACCAATAAACAAATACACAGATAAACTAAACGAAATTTTTAAAGAACTGCTCTAAATTATTATAAAACCTTACCGTCCTCAGCAAGAAGGTGTTTATTGATATATATGTATATATTTATAGTAAATATAGTTTAGTGATATATATGTATATATTTATAATACGTGCTGTCAAATTCTATCGAAATTTTTATCAGTATTCTATAACATTTTATATATCCTGTAGGGTTACTATTAACATCAATATAATTATTAACCAAAATATTGTCTGGAGATGCTCCTAAATTTGTAATGACTAAATTTTCAGGAATAATGGAAGGTGTACAGTGAAACTATGATAAAGTGTCACAATAACTTATAACTGTATTGATACAATCTTTCAGAGAATATAAAAGCGCTCAATATTGATCTAAAAACAGAGAAACCCACAGACACAAATGAAACGTTTGAAGTTAATATCAAATTGCAGTATAATTATACGAGTTTTTTATATCTGTGTAAATGGATTAGATTTAATAAATTACATATGCATTATCTCATTCCCTTAACAGCATTACATTATATAAGACTTTAAATATAAAAAAATAACCTACAAAAGCAAAAAAACATAATTTTCGTTTTATACTACTATGACATTATATGACATATATATATGACATTACTGCTGACAATTAAATTTCTTCAAACACGAGCTTATATAATATGGACGACTAGATAAACTAATAGATTTTGCTAGAAACTACGATAGTATATCTATACATGAGTTTATTATACATAACAGATTTCGTCGTAAAGGGTATAGGTAAGGGTAACCCAATCGAAAACCCTCACTGAATCACTTTCGTTAAGATATTTGAATTTTTTTTATAAAATTATAAAAAAAAATCCAGATTGCCACTTTACTTGTTAGTGGAAATAATTTAGTTTAATTTCTACTATCGATTTTGTTATTACTATAGTAGTAACCGAATATATAGTATGTGTACCCTTTACGACTTGTTCTGTATGGACTGTTCCAGTTCACCATACTGATTCCTTCGACATTGTAATAATAGATTTTCTATAAACATCTTAGACCTCAAGACTTCTTTGAACCCATCTGTGAAAATAGTTCGTCTCTAAAATATTGCACACTTCATTTAAAATATCGTAGGCTTTAAGTAACCATAAGCTCTACCAATGTGTTACGAACTATGAGAATTTGAAATAAAAACTTGAATACGTAGCTCTGTGGTTAACATATTTAACATTAGCACAATAACAATAGTTTACATATATAATAGGTGTTGTTATTCGGTGTTTTAATATATAACAAACTGCATTTACCATATATTTAATAAGTAAGCACATAATGCTTCTCGCTCCCTTCAATTCGGTGTTCATGATAACTATTTACGACATTAAATTTTATGATATATGTAATTATTCAATTGGACAAGGAATAGATGTATGAATATATAGAAGAGGATTGATTACCTTTATTAATTATTTACAATTGGGTTTCCCTTATTTTCGTTTATTTAATGTTTCAACATCTTGCGTCCAATGTTTTAAACGATCACTCGCAAGTTCAATGTCACATCGTATGTTCACATCTTGTCATGAAAATCATTCATATTTTCCGATAGCTGCATTTGAAATTTGGAAACATATTGGAATTTAATCCTAAGAGACTGAGAAAGAGTGTTCTAAAGTAAATTTCAATGAAATTATTATCAGTTTTGATATTTCATTTACCTATGTACTTGTTTGGAAATTTTAAATAAATAAATTTATGTATTTTTTTATTTAATTATCTTGGGTCCAACTAATTGGTCCACGTAATATTGATATTTCGAGTGCGTTTTCTATTTTTGACCGTTAAATAAACTCATATAGTAGTGTATCATTCATTTAGTGTTACTCAAATTAGAAATATAAGGTATCGAACATATAAATACGAATATACAACAACTGTTGTAAATCATTTCATTCAGTCATGAATAGAAAACGGATTCAAAGTGTCAATTGTCATATTATTCGGTTATTTACATATATTGAACTCTCAAATTAAACGTATAAAATTTTTGAGGTTAATTGTACTATACTATGTATATAGTGGGTAAACTATTTTTTGTATATTAAATTTTGGAATTTTTTAAATGTCTTTAATCTGCAGGTGATGATTTACAATGATTTTGCTGAAAGTATTAATATTTTATTTTATATCTCTTATGTGCAAGTAGTGGTCAGAGAATAGCAATGTCAGTTGTAACGGAATTATCCTAAGAACAAGACATTTAGGTGTTGTTCTTAGGAAATATATAAGTATTGGCTGAACATGTGAGGGCTAGCGTACATGGGGTGGTAGTACACGCTGATGGGCATGTAACGTGTGATAAGGGTTGAGCATGTAATTTTAAGAGAGAAACGGTCTGAAATAGACGTGTTAAGTACCCAATAAATTATTGTCAAAGTCCACTGAGCTAGTCTCAAGTAAAATTTAACTAACATATCTCAATAAGAACGATGAAATATTATCGGTTACAAATGCAGTTTTACCGAACCTACCATTTTTTTTAAACTCACAACAATCTTCCAGTGACTTAAAAATTTCCGTCTGCTGTTTAAAATTTTCTTCATGTATCTCCCTTCTTTATTTACACGTCTCCCATTTTTTCTTCACCACTGCATGCTAGCTCTTGCTATTGTCAATAATTTGTGATGATTGAACAATTAATTTTATCTATTAGTAGTATCGATCAAGACATTATATGTTGTATCAATGTTTAATAATGTTTAATTTAAGCATCGCATTGTAAGATTCTGTTCGTTGATGTTGTAGGTTAAGAACATATTTAGTGTTATTGTGTAAGTATAATAAAATTGTCGGTATACATTGTTTCGATAACCCTTGCATAATTAGATTCTCTGCTTATAATGTTGCCAAAGTAGTTTAATTATTTTTAGTTCAACTTTTGTACGACGTAAATTGATTGATGACAATATCCTAGAATGCGGTTTGAAAACAGTCAACTGGAAGTTAAAAGTGTGTACTTAAGTAAGGAAACAACTGAAGAAAGAATGGAAATTATTAAAGAAATTACTTTTATTATTAAAGAAAAGTGTTAATATAAATTTTAATTTAAGTATTTTAATTTGTTATTTGATATTTTACTTTTAGTGTTTGACATTGACAGTGTCAATAAATTACGTTAAGTGTCATTAACATTACGTCATATGAATTTGAACTTTATTCGCTTTAAATAATGACTGAAATTGATGCTTAGCGAAGCATTATAATCAATCACAGCCGAATATATTATATTGTTGTAATATTTAAATTTTATATATTCTGTTAATTCGCTTCATCATATGATAAATTGCCGTGCCAAAGCTTGTGTGGTCGGACCACTTGGATTAAGTGGTGATGTTGAAGTTTACCATAGTATATGAATATTTGTAGGATCTGTTTCATTTTCATATGATAAAGTTTTTCTAAACAACAACTGAATGCGTCACTGTATATAATTTAAAACCTATTTTCATCCAATTATATTTAACATACATTTTTTCTTAATTTTCTAGGTAATTTTGCTATAGCAAATTTATCTAGCCAAGTCTTCAATTGACCATATGTAAAGCCTTATATGTTTTATTCCCGCGCATCCTTTTTTTGTTTTAAACTGAACATATATTTTATTTAAATAATGTCATTAAAAAAACTTTATCAAATGAAATTTCAAACAGCATTCTATGCCAATACTTGAATTTAAAAGGAATTGAGAACATACGGAACGAGGAATTAAAGTGTATGTAGTCTTCTATGATTGTTTAAAAATAATAATTTGTATTTATTTATATTACAGCTGTAATTTCTTCAAGTCATTTTACTTAATAGCGTAAACAGTAGTTTTATTTCAATGAGTGTAATATTATATTGTAACAAACATTCCGTAATGCTTTGTATGTGTCTAAACGCCAAACGAATTATGTCGAATGCATTATATATATAAATTAAGATAATAGGTGTTATATCACTAATATTAAATATAATATAAATGTCATTTCTATGAATAATTCTGTTAATCTAAGAGGTTTAGTTCGTCACTCATTGCGATAACAAGAGACAAAAAAAGTTAATTTTATGTTTCAGATATTAGGAGTTAATAAAATTATGCAGTTATAATTAAAAATAATTTGAAGCTCATTTGTACTCTATATTACTTACATTTATACATCTATTATTATGAGTATTAAAGTCTAAATTTAAATGGCAATCACTACCTATGTTATTGTTTTAAACATACTTTTTTTCCGGTTAAACTACCGAAAAGCAAAATGTCTATGCTCATACAGCCATGTCTTTTGCTAATTTGAAGTTGACAAATAGATTTTTTTTTAATATTACAAAAATATGCACATAATAATCTTTACCAATATTAAATATGTATGAAAATAATATTTAAGTCATACCTGCTCTGGAATAAATGCTTCTTATAAAATATTTTAATATTCAACGCGTTTATAATTAAGTCTATGTAACATTATGGTGCGTTACTAATTGTCTATGATCATCGCAATGAGTGATGACTACAAAATTTCGAAACCTCCCATATCTAAGATATATATTCACTGTGATAATCATATGATTATATTAATAGAAATATACAACCATACTTAATAATGATCATACTTTTATCGATGTAAGAATATGTATGTAAAAAGAATTGATAAAATGAATCCTATTCGGTTTGTTTAAGATATATTTTGATTTGTCATTAATTATAACGGCCTGCCAAATATTTAGGGCGCTTCCATTTCAAACAGACTTCCATGAGAAAATCTTTTATTGCCGTTTTAATTATTACTAAAAATTTATTAAAAATAACTTCACAAATTTCAACCTATTTTTTCGGGTGTTATCTTGATTTTGGCGCCAAAAAATATATTTGACGAATTTCCTTAGTCAAGGTTTTATTACATTATCAATGTATTCTATAATAAATTCACTTTTGATTTTTTTTTAATTATTAAAGATAGGAAAATTGCCTCAATTGCTTCGTAAATTGACCAATTTGATCTAGCTTTGAACCAATATATTTAATACATCAATTATATTACTATAACAATTGGTAATGTAATATCTGCCTTATGTTAATGAGCATAGAGAAAGAATCAGGCGTTATCTTGAATCAGTGTACAGTCACGTGCAAAAATATATGAAACAATTGTAAACATTATCTTAAACCTTATGATTTAAAAATTCTTTGAGTCTCTTTTTAGTCAGGAGACAACCCTGGCGCTATCCATCAGGAGTTGGCTCCTGATTCCTTCAAACTCCAAATTGGTTCCCTCATGTCCTACTGTGAGTTGGAGAGTGTAAATTTTTTATTGGACCTGATAAAGAGTGACCTAAAGATTTTTTTTAAATCGCATGGTATGAACTTAGTCTCAGGGCGCCGCCCGCTACAGCTTCAAACCTTCGTACTTTGATCCCCAATGGGAGAATACAAAACATTGCCACATGACTGTACTCTTAAAAATGTAATGTTAAAATAAATAATTTATCAATATATTGATTAATATCACAGTGAATAAAATATTCTGTCCAATGAGTCTATAATCATATTAATAAGTTCATTTGAGGCCAGTTTCTGAATGAAACTTAATTTTAGTGTTAACGCTATTCTGTAGAGTCTGGTCTCTAACTTTGTGGGGCTCGTAATATTCTACAATTTATTTCTATAATTATATTATTGCTGTATCTGACGCTTCATTACACTGGACACGATTAATTTGACTTGCAATCGCTTCATGTTTGCTTAGCAAGCACAGAGTAATTAATAGTACAATTTATAAGAGTTACCAAAATTGAAAATGATTTGTGCAAGCGCTTGATTGTTATTTATTAGGCACAGAGTAATCAACACTACTTTTTATAAGAGTTATCTAATTGAAAATTTATAGCAATCCGTAAATATAAAAAAGAAATAACAAAATTATATTTATATGAAACTGCTATATGACCGACAAAAAACTTCACGCTGTAGTGTCTACCGAAAATTGTCTTTATTGTGAAATTAATTAAAGTAAGTAAAAGTATTTAAATTAATTATTTAAAAAATATTTAAAATTAATTAATATTTCAAAATTTGACAATTTCAGTATTTATCCTGATACCTACTTACATTTACATCATTGTTAGTCCATTCAGCTCGTGACCACGTCTAGTGCAACCTAGTCGAAACGTCTAGAGAAATAAATACCTTTATTTACCATAAAATTATTCGTGTCAACACCCATTTAACAATATAAATAATGTATATTAAATACTAAAGTTTAAAATGACTAATTGAATATAATAGAAAAGAACCTAAGTGGTCTCGGACAGTGCGGTTTCAGAGGAGCTTCCTATCGCGTACACTTAGATTGTGGAATAAACTACCTGCCGAGGTTTTCTCGAGAGACTACAGCATGGGGTTTTTTAAGAAGCGTATATTAAGGTATCTTAATAGTCGGCAACGCGCACGTAGCACCCCTGATGTTTCAGGCGTCCATAGACTACGGTAACCATTTACCATCCGATGCGTAGGCTTGTTTGTTACCATAGTAGTATAAAAAAAAGAAAATCCTTTATACAAGTAAACTTACTTTAAACACTTAATATTTTATAGTCACGGACATCTTTTTTTTCTTTTTTTTTTCTTTTTTTTTTTTTTTTTTCTTTTTTTTTCTCATCATTAGAAGAATGAGCAAGAAACTTGCGTGTTGAGTTAACGATGTCCAGTGTACGGCGTTTGGATTTTCGGCATTGATCGTGTTTTATATTGATATATTTTAATTTAATTACGACTACGCTATTTTATATCTCATATATTTTATACCGATGTCTCTGAATAAAATGTGGACGAAACGATGCGTTTTATTTTATAACATACCAGACACCCGTCCCGTCAAATCAAATCAAATCCAATTTATTTGCGATCAACATAGGTATACATTATCATCATTGCCTTGCCTTTATCCCATTATTTGTGGTCGGCGCAGTATGTCATTCTCTTCCACTGACCTCTATCGGTCGTCATATCTAAACATACTCTTCTTTTATTCATATCATCTTTCACACAATCCATCCATCTTTTCTTAGGGCGTCCCCTCCCTTTACATCCATCCACATTCATATTATACACTTTCCATGAGACATGATCCTCGTTCCTCCGCATAACATGCCCATAACATCAACATACTCGTAGGTATACATTGGTTGTAATTGTAGAATATAACTAGCTGTTTTCACGACTTCGTCTGCGTGGAATTTAACTTTATTTTTCCAAAATAAAAGTAGCCTAAGTTACTCCTTATTACATCAGCTACCTGCTAAAAAAAGTCTCGTCAATCGATCCAACCATTTCAGAGATTAGAAATAAACAGACAGACAGAAAAAAATGTGTAAAAATGTTATTTTGGTGTATGTACCGTATTTATTCATATGCGTGTAGTAAAAAACGGTTATTTCAATATTACAAACAGACACTCCAATTTTATTTATACATATGTATAGACCAATAAAATACAAAATTTTAAATATGTAGTGACATTCTTTATTTTTTTTTACATATTTTTCTGAGGCCCAAGTCAGCTTTAACATATTTTTATTAGTTTTAACATAAAAACATAAATTCAATACAATTATAATCGTAATTAAAAACTGTCATCAGCTCACTATTTATTAAATTAATAGTTGCGTTTTTGTCTATCATAGATCTATCGATTCAATAATAAAAAATGGAGCACGATTCGAATACTGGGACAAGACAAAGTCAAGTCAGTCCCGCCGGTACATTTTAAACTAATCTTTGGTATGTAATATTATGTTATCTGTGTCTTTGGCAACGACTCTCCAAACCCACTAACGGACTTATGGAGCGGCTGAAGGCCAATTCTTGCCTAATGAATACAACCTTATTATTATTATTATTATATTTCTTCAACTCATTTGCTCATAAAGTGGATCTAATTTCACTGATTTGCAATATATCAAACAGCTCCTAAAATACGTGTCCGTTATAAAGTCAAATAGTGAAGTTATTTTCCATATCTGCGCAATTCGCAATTTTTCAAATTTCGAACTGACTTCCGCACGGAGCCAGCCAATAGGCAGCGCGCTGATTTAAAAAAAGTAAAATGGCGGGAAAGTGTCAATTTGAACAAAATATAATATAATGACTTTTATTCTGTTTCCTCGCAAATGTAAGTAAAATGGCGGGAAAGTACTAATATTTTAAGAAAATATAAAATCGTGATTTTTTATTTTGTTTACTCGCAAGTGTGTTGAAAAACGTCCTACGTCTTTCGGCTCTAGTTTTAATTCCGTCTCGTGTCTTATAATCATCATAACGCACTTATACCGTAATATATTATTAATGCATTACATATTCTAGTACATTAGATAGACTTCACATGCATTCCAAATATGAATATACGAACGACAGTGCATGTAATGACGAAATCACATCCAGTAACCGACATCACGCGATAACGTAGCGACGCGACAAGCACGAAGTGGCAACGTCGCGGCCACCCGCTCGATTTGTACGAGAGCGGGCGACGTGCCGCGGCAGCCAGTCGCCGTTTCGCGCTTCTGTCGCGTGCACCGTTGTAGGGAAAATTTTCGCGCCAACCATGCCTCGTACAGTGAAAGGACTCAATTTCAAACATAGACACGCTATGAAACTTATTAAAGAGGTTAGAGAAAGGCCGTGTCTATGGAACAGTAATCATGAAGACTATAATGATAGGCTTCAAACGTTTACATCGTGGAAGCAGATTAAGGAGACGTTGAATATACCGGGTAAGTACTTAGTACCTTCATTCAGACTACATGTACACTTCGATTTCGAACTGAGCGTTTTGATTTGACATGAGATTATGCACGGCTTAAAACATAGATGGCGCTATACACATTTTTTTAAATGTAATCAGATATATATAATAATATATAAACTTTAAAATAGTAACTACTCTACTTAATATAGCATATGTGTAAAATAAATTCTTAATTAATAAGAGTACAAAAAGCTTAAATAATCTTTTTTATTGTTGATACTTTTGGGCTATTGTCAGGTGCTAAGACCTATGACCAGCATATTATACCATAGATCAATAGAAGTTCGAAATTAGTATTTGGATTTTCATTGTATTTTTTTAAAAGTATTTCAGTTTATTATAGTATCTGTTTTGTCCCTTTATAGATATTTTGTTAACTATACACACATCTCAAAATTTCGAAACATTCCGAAACTTATAATAATGCATCTAAGCCTAATTCATATAGCGCCATCTAGTCCCTAACTAAGCAGAGCTTGAGTTATGAGCACTAGACTACTGACATAAATACATACATCGTTTTTTTTTTTTTATAATACGGACCTAATGTATATAGAAAACACCCAGACTGATATAAACAATCATACTTATGACTAAAAATGTTTACATCGTGGCATCGAACCCGTACCGTGAGAAGTAAACTAAACTGTGTACTAAATATGCATAGACAAATTTTATATATATACTTTATTGCACTTTTAAATACAAGTTTTGAATATACGTTATAAGTTTTGTATACAATGGAGGACTTATCTCTAAAAGAGATCTCTTCCAGTCAACCCAAAAAGCGTGACACAGGAAGTGGTGTGTGGGTCACAGGAGTGCAAATAATAAAATTAAGTAAAGATAAAATAAAAATTGTATTGTAGTTTTACTAAAGAATTAACGTAAAATGTGAATATACGATGTAATGTGTACGAAACGATGTAAATGTGAATAACGTAAAATGTGAACGATATATAACTATAAATACAAAGTAATTTTAATACATATTATATAATTACTTTTACAGAAGACGCTCTTCGTGTAAAATGGAAGAACCTCCGAGACACATTCAAAAGAGAGTTGAGGAAATGTAATCCCGAATCCCCAGAACATTACAACGGCAAATGGATCTTCTTCAAATACATGTGGTTCATACAAGAGCCCAATGACGTCACCAACGAGATCCCAGTAACCGATCAATCCCTCGACAACGATGAAGATTTCGAGGATTACTACTTGATCCCCAAGCCAGAACCTATAGAGGCAGAATATTTAGAAGAATTTGCAAATATAGAAGAAGATCCAGTTCCAGCGAAAAAGAGGAAAAAGAGCGATGACAACGAATACGATCTTATGTTTTTGAAATCTTTAGCGCCGTATTTCAAAGATTTAGACCCAATTAGGAAGTTAGTTTTGAGAAGCAAAATGCAAGACATGGTCTTGAACGAGATAGCGGCTCAAGCATCTCAAAAGAACTTATATAAGAAGAGTTAGTAGATACTGTTCCTAGTGCGTTGGTGTTTTATACTTTTTTATTGTAAACGGCTAATCTCTGAAATGGCCGAACCAATTTTGACGGGACTTTAATTGGCAGTTAGCTGATGTAATGAGGAGTAACGTAGGCTACTTTTATTTTAGAAAAAATCTTTTATATTAGAAAAATAAAGCTAAATTCCACGCGAAGTCACGGGAACAGCTAGTTTTAACGGGATTACATGGTCAGGGAGAGAAACACGAGCAGTGTACTGCTGCAAGTTCTATACTTGGACATGTATTTAATGCAGCACTAGCAGGCTCCTACCAGATTCGGTTACCAGAGTCGGTATGTACGTCGGCAAAGGGTCCTTTAAACCTACACCCGGGTTACAAGTCCCAGGAGCTACTCGGAGTGTCCCTCTCTGCCACACCATGAATCCGGCTGTCGCATGGGGAATCCATAAGTTGCCAGAAAATTCACCTCTCTCTAGACTGAGGATTCTATATACTGGGATCGGTGCAGCCAATAATGTTATTATAGAAAGACGCAACGAATATAATTATATTAAGGCGTAAGTCAACAGCGGTCTGCAAAAGATGTAATAACGAATGGTAACAAAGATCGCATAGTAAAATTAAAAAAAAAATTGGTGCCGTGCCAGTACTAAGAAGTATTGTACAGTAATAATTGAAAAGAAAGAAAAAGACAAGTTGATATATATATAATGTACTTTAGATTACAATTGTAATATTTATACAATTAAACATAGAGCAAATGTTAACAATTTCTAAATATACACTTGATAAAGTATAATAAGGCAGCCATTTTGTTGAAAGCAATCTTTCAAGTAAACTTATGGTAATAGATTTGATTATAGGACAGGTACCTGTTCAAATACGGAAAACATTGCAATCGAAAAATTGGAGAATGTCAGTGGGATACAACAAGAATAACTTTTTTTTATTGTCTTTTTAATTATTTTCCGATAATAATAATAATATAATAATCTCAAGACAAGTCACACAGCGCCATCTAGACCCAAGTTAAGCTAGCTATAGCTTGTGTTATGGGTACTAGACAACTGATACATATATACATAGATTTTTTTTGTAAATACATACATATTACAGATAGAAAACACCCAGATCATATTCACAGAATCATATACTCATGAATACAATTGTTTGTGCCGTGCGAGGAATCGAACCCGCGACCACCGAGGTCGTCAAGTCTTCCGATATAATAATGGTTGCATTATTTATATTATTAACCGGGTCTTAACACGAACTAATTTTATGACAAGTAAAGGTACTAGATACTGGAGTAACAGCGATGTCAATGTAGATAGGTGACAGCAGTTTTTTCATCTACTCCAGTCAGCTCGTGACCACGGCTAGTGCAACTAGTCGAAACGTCGAGAGAGGTAAATAAAATTCCTTTATTCAACGACCTCGGTGGTCTAGCGGTCTAGCACACCGCTTTACGACCGATGGTCGCGGGTTCGATTCCTCGCACGGCACAAACATTTGTATTCATGAGTATGATTGTTTGTATCGGTCTGGGTGTTTTCTATGTATAATATGTATTTATTTACTAATAAAAAAAAAAAAATAATCTATGTATATGTATCAGTTATCTAGTACCCATAACACAAGCTTTAGCTAGCTTATCTTGGGTCTAGATGGTGCTGTGTGAATTGTCCTGATATTATTATTATTCTTTATTTTTTCTCAGCTATTGCTGGTTTTCTCCACACTTACGGGCCGAAACCAAGTAAGTGCAGAGTGTGTGTATGTGTGTGTGCGCGTGTATGTATGTGTGAGTGTGTGTGTACTTATTGTGTGCCTGGTGTGACTGGTGTTATATCATTTTCATCGATTTCGAGAAATTTTCGGACTGTACGACAGGTATTTAAGATGGCAGCTTTTTGAAGGGTGATGTAAAGTGTTTTTTGTATATCTAATTGTTTCAGGCTATGATGTAGGTGTTTGGGTATGATACCTGTAGATGAGAGGACTATGGGTATTATATAAACTTTTTCTTATTATTATTATTATTATTTACCATAAAATTTGCTCGTGTTAAGACCCGGTTAATAATATAAATAATGTATATTAAACACGAACGTTTAAAAATATCTATAATATTGGTTAGTTTTTTATCTAGTTGAATTGGAGTCAGTATTAAGTTAAGTTTCTGTACTTAAAGGTATCTGATTCCTGCGACAGCTGATTTCCTGACACAGCCCTTGAGCTTAGTGCAGGGCTGTTGAAACATTTTATCTATAATTATTGATGTAAAATATACAAATACATAAATAAATTCTGTCCCCCAGAAACGGAACTGATATTTTTTATATTACTGGAATGGCATGCAAGTTGGCGGTCCACCTGATGGTAAGTGGCAACTTCTACAGGCTGTACATAATATTTTATATATATTGCTATGGTGGACCCTTAATAAGATACTGTATTGAATTATTATATAATTATAATAATAATAATATAATAATCTCAGGACAATTCACACTGAGCCATCTAGACCCAAGTTAAGCTAGCTAGAGCTTGTGTTATGGGTAATAGATAACTGATACATATACATAGATTTTTTTTTGTAAATACATAAATATTATACATAGAAAACACCCAGACCGATACAAACAATCATACTCATGTATACAAATGTTTGTGCCGTGCGAGGAATCGAACCCGCGACCATCGGTCGTAAAGCGGTGTGCTTGACCGCTAAACCACCGAGGTCGTCGAATATTACATTAGAATATAAGAGAAGTATACAAGAAAAGCACTACAGACTTCACTTCCTCATGTCAGTGTACCCTCCATCGTCGATTAAATAGAAAAATGACATTTATTAATATATATTTATATATAGTTTATATCAGTCATTAGGTATTTACTTAGTAGGATTGTACAACGTCAGTAAGAATTCCGAATATTTTTGTTTTGTAAAATAAAAATTTTATTGTTAATGATAGATTTAATTTTAAGTTCTTTTAATAGCAGCTTCATTAAAAAAAATACAGTTTTCTTGACCCCACGTCACTGTTACAATAAATATAAAAAAAGTTTTAATAAAGTCTTTATTTATTTTTAATATTGTTTACTTTATACCCATTTCCCTAGCCTTCAAAACTCTCATCATTATCATCATCACAACTTATTTATCATCTTTTATGGATGAATATTATTTAAAAGCAACACACAAGTTTCTTGCTCATTCTTCTTGTGATGAGTCTGCATTCCGAATGAGCGGTAGAATCAAAATACTTGACTATTCAAAAGTGCTTATATTACGTTTATTTGAATTTTTTTTTTTTTATTGGGTTGTTTGGGCTATTGTCAGATGTGTAGCACCTGTAGCACTGCGACCTACATAGATCTATTGTGCTCGCCCTTTTCAGAGTTCGCTACCTAGACCCGTCAGGGACAAGAATTGAAGGATATTCTTAGGAGCGATCGTTTTTATCTCCTCGGGAAAGAGTGTAAACTTTCCAAAGGAGATATTTCGTTTATGCATGAGTGGGCTACAACCACATAGGATGTGAAGCGGCGTTTCCTCTTCAGTTTGGCAGAATCTGCAGATACTTGTCGTGCATAGGCCTAGCTTAGCCATATGCTTGTTCAATTTGCAGTGTCCTGTGAGGGCCCTAGTCATCATGCATATGTTGTTTTTACTCAATAGCAGTAATCTATTGGAGTATTTGGTCGAGAAGCCCGATATAAGGTCTTTTATATAAGACCAATAGAAATAGAAATAATATTTGAATAAAGATTATTTCTATTTCTATTGGTCTTATATTATTTTAATCGAATGACAATGATTTATTTTGTGGATGATAATGGAATGGAGCACCCGCCTGCGTGAACGGTTTACGCTGGCGGGGCACCAGTGGAGGATGATAAGCTGAGCATGAGGTCAGGTCAGTTAGCCCATCGTGACAAATTCACCAGGAATTTAACAGGATGGTTTCCAGGGGGATCCGCGTGGAGGTCAACCTGACATGGTACATTGCTAGCAATGGAGTTATCAAGCCTCATTACTAACAATCTCGTTCCCCCCCAATGACAATGGTTGGGGAGAAGCGTCAGGGTCAATTTGACCATGCAGTTCCCTCTGGATGATAAATTCCTGGTGAATTTGCCACGATGTGCTAAATGACTTGATCTCATGTTCATCTTGTCATCCTCAACAGGTGCCCCATCAGCGGAAACCGTTAAAGCAAGCCGGTGCACAATAAGTCTCATATATCAATGTTGCCTGAAGTAAATAAATAGTCCACAATAACTTTCAGTTTTTTAAAGTTTGACTAGAAGAAATCTCATTTGCGATATGTCCGCAAATGTACAATTAACTTTTTAAGATCCTTGTATTTTGTTTTAAATCTTTCTCCTGTACAATACAATGTTACAAAGAAACAAACAAAATTATCGTACACTAATTTGTTTTTAAATTATTTGTATCTGTCTGGGTGTTTTCTATGTATATTATGTATATATTTACAAAAAAATATCTAAGTATCCGTTGTTACCATGGGACTACATGGCGCTGTGGTAATTATCCAAAATTAATTCATTATTATTAAAAAAATAATAATTGCTGACATCTATCCAAGTAATAATAATATAACTACAAGAGTCAAGAAAGCACACAGACTGATACAACTAGCAGCAACAGGCTAAAAGAAAGCACCTATAGTTTTGTTCAACAAATAACAGATGGCGCTAAATAGTAATATCTAAATATATTATCTTTGAATACTTTCATACTAAACTTACAATATCTTTATTTATACAGAATATATATATAATTATGAATAAAACTAATGACTTGTATTTCTATCAGTTTTATATTCACTGAATAGTGCTACGTAAGTCTATTATTATATTATCATTACATAGTAAGTACTGTCCGTCCCTATGTATGCTTAAATCTTTAAAACTACGCAACGGATTTTGAAGCGGTTTTTTTAATAGATAGAGTGATTCTAGAGGAATGTTTATATATATAATACATGTACACCCGTGCGAAGCCGGGACGAATAGCTAGTTATTAATATGATAAAATTATTGTATTGTCTTTTTTCACAATCATTAAATACTTATATTGGTTTATCTGTTCCCTATGTACTTACTTCTACCTAATTTGTGCTAATATTGCCTATTAACTTTGACTTGACAATTATACCTGTATAAAATTGATTTTACAATTGATTCTACAGATTATCCGTTACTAATATTACATAGATATTATTGAACCTATAAAAGTTTCATAGTTTTAAGAATAGGACAGTAACTGTTGATCTTAGTCTGCTTTTTCTTAGAAAAAAGTTAGCTTCTGTGTGTCCATATGATACCATTTGCACCAAAATTTCTTCACCCGTCTATTCATAAAAAGATAAGAAACAGAAACACTTTCTTATACATTTATAGGTAGGTATAGTATACTGTACTATACTCCATTGAGGAGGGAAAGGGGATTATTAGTAATGTGGACTGATGATCTTATTGCTAGCAATGTACCATGTCAGGTGAACCTCCACGCTGTTCCCCCTGGAAACCATCGTCATAAATTCTTGGTAAATTTGTCACAATGGGCTAACTGACCTGACATCATGCTTATCTCATTCTCCACTGGTGCCCCGCCAGCGTAAACCGTTAGCGCAGGCGGGTGCACCATTCCGTTATCATCATAAAAAAAATACTCCAATGAAACATTGGAGGGAAGAGGATTGTTAATAATGGCTCTAATGTTAGTTATGTCGACCTCCACGCGGTTCCCCCTGGAAATCATCGTTGTTAATTCCTGGTGATTTAATCACGATGGGCAAACTGACCTGACATCATGCTTATCTAATTCTCCACTGGTGCCCCGCCAGCGTAAACCGTTAGCGCAGGCGGGTGCACCATTCCATTATCATCCATAAAAAAAAATTGTCAATATGGTAATTAAATATTTTCTTTTCATTTCAATAAGAATGTTTATCTAGTTTACCGGCTACACAAAGCGGCAACGTCGCGTCGCTCAGTCGCGATTACACGCGGTGACGCCTCCCACGGTTCGCCGCGTGCCGCGTATCCTGTTAGTTTGGTACTTTCGTCACGCGCAACCGCCGAGCCGCGCCGCGTTCTCGTCAGTCGCGAGTTGACGCGGTGCCCTGTCGCCGCTTCTAATTTACACAATACTCTGTGTTTAAGCATGTTTTGGCGCGAAAATGCCGCCCAAATTCAACTTGAGTGAGCTGACAATCCACAAACTAATACAAGAAATAAAAAACCGCGAGTGTTTATGGAACGCAGAGAACGAGGATTACAATGACAGATTTCAAACGGCCTTAGCATGGAAGGAGATATCTGAAACTTTGCAATTGCCAGGTTTGTGTTGTTATTGTTCTATTCATTCGAGCAATAACATAAAAAGCAACTGTTCTAGATTAAGTGTAGTTGCTGATAATAAGTGATACGTCCTCGCGTGTTGTCTTATTAGTTCCGCACACAACATATAGATGGCGGTGTTTGTAAAACAACTTTAAATATAGTTTTTTGTATAATCTTTATATAAAAAATTACGTGTCACGTTATTTGTCCGCGATGGACTCCTAAACTACTGAACTGATTGCAAGTTTGATTTGCACATTGTATGCAATTTGCTCCAACTTGAAAGATAGGATAGCTTACATCTCAATTTATAGTCGCAATATTATTTTATTCAAGGACCTTAAGCACAGCAACGCGTCGTCGGGTCTGCTATTACACTATAAATAATAAATATGAATTATTTTAATTATATTTAATGTATGAACTGTCATGGTTACACTTAAATGGTATCAATAGACAATTTTAAATCAATTGTCAATTAAAAAGTTATATCATAAACAATCAGTAAACAACAACTGACGACCTTGGTGGTCTTCGGTTTAGGACACCGCTTTACGTCCGATGGTCGCGGGTTCGATTCCTCACACGGTACAAACATTTGTATTCATGAGCATGATTGTTTGTATCGGTCTGGATGTTTTATACGTATAATATTTATGTGTTTACATAAAAAAATATATTGTATTTATCAGTTGTCTAGTACCCATAACACAAGCTCTGCTTAACTTGGGACTAGATGGCGCTGTGTTAATTGTCCAAGAATTATTATTAATTATAACGTGTAGTACCTAATTTCGAAATTATTTTCCTTACAGTCGATTTAGTTAGAATGAAATGGAAGAATCTACGTGATTCATATAAAAAGGAGATGAAGAAAAGCGGCGCGTCATGTATAGAAGAGTACAATGGGAGATGGCAGTATATGGAAGTGTTGAGTTTCATTGACAAACCTGACAGCGAGACAAATACGACCGAAAACCAGGATGTAACGGACAACAGTAATTTAACGGATAACTTTGTGGACGTAAAGCCCAACAATGATGAAGAAGATAGCGAAGACCCAGTGGCGGTACCAAAAAAACGGAGAAGAAGTTACGCGGAGGAAGAATACGATTTAATGTTTCTGAAGTCTTTAGCGCCGTTCTTCAGGCGTTTGGATCCTGTGAGGAAGTTAGTGCTGAGAAGTAAAATGCAAGACTTGGTGATAAATGAGATAGCGGCGCAAAAATCTAGTAATAAATTGTATATGCTTTGAGATATGTAGTCTTTATTCAATTTTTTATAGGCCCTTATGGTTTAACGGTTTAGCACACCGCTTTAAATTCAATGTCCTGGTAGCAGGTTCAATTCCTCGCATGGTATAAACAGTTGTGTATATGAGTATGATGGTTTGTAACTGGATGTTTTCTATGTACCTATACTATATATGTATTTACAAGAAAAATATATTTATGTATTTATATCAGCTGTCTAGTGCTCATAACATAGGCTCTGTTTACATTGGTACTATTGTAGATAGCGTTGTGTGAATAGTTTAGTATTTGTAGATCTGACATATCATAAGAGTCTGTAATAGTCCTACATGAATAAAGAAATTTCGATTTTTGTTTCGATTATCTAAATATATATAACTCAAAGGTGACTGATATAGTGATCTATCAACGCACAACCCAAACCACTGGACAGATCAGGCTGAAATTTGGCATGCAGGTAGATGTTATGACGTAGGCATCCGCTAAGAAAGGAGTTTGATTAATTCTACCCCTAAGGGGATGAAAATTTGTATGTAACGTTGTCAATTTTAAACCGCTCGGACTGAGACTTTACATGCATAAATCTACTATGACGTAGGCATCCCCTAAGAAAGGATTTTGATAAATCCACCCTTAAGGGGATAAAAGTAACGCGAGCGAAGCCGCGAGCAAAAGCTAGTATTAGATATAAACGCGAAAGTTTGTGAGTATGAATGGATGTTTGTTACTCCTTCACGCAAAAACTACTGAACGGATTTTGTTGAAACTACAGTAATATAGCTTATACATCAGAATAACATATAGGCTATAAATTTCACGCGGTTACAGCTAGTATTAGAATATATGTAGGGTTGGTTACAATTGATAATGATAGAGTTTTTCATAACCACTCGAACGAAGTCGCGGGCTAGTAGTAGCTAGTTAATATTATAAACGCAAAAGTTAGTATGAATAGTTTGTTAGTCTCGGTACTTGTTAAAGTTGAGCTTATAAGGACTCGTATCCAGAGCCGAAAAACGTAATAAATAAAAAAAGCAAAGTAGACACACGGCTGTTGCCGCTGCTTACAACCCAAACAACGCGCGGAGCGGCAACGTCGCGGCAACCGGCGGCGGGAATGCTTACAATCTGACATCGCCGTCCGCGCGTTGAATCGATCCCGCCCGCCGATTCTTGCCGCGCGGGATCGACAAGTTCCCACTTTCTCGCAATAGTGAAGTGCAAACTAATTGTTAATTATCGGTTATTACCGATTTAGCTATGTATTTATTTTTAATCGGTGTTGCATTCGTTTGCAACATATCTTTATTATTAAAAACAAGGTATAAACGTGTTGTTAAACGTAATAGATCTTAATGCGTAGTTAATAGATTTCGTGTAAAACATACATTTCGCTATTTGGGTGCAGTAACAATGAATTTATCTCTAATTTATATTTACTACTAGCTGTACCCGCGACTTCGTCCGCGTGGTATTTAACTAATAAGTTAATTAGAGAATTTTTCTAAAATAAAAGTAGCCTAAGTTACTCCTTTTTACATCAGTTACCTGCCAATAAAAAGTCCCGTCAAAATCAGTCCAACCATTTCAAAGATTAGCCAGAACAAACAGACAGATAGACATACAGACAAAAATTGTAAAATATGTTATTTTGGTGTATGTACCGTATTTATATTCATATGCATGTAGTAAAAAACGGTTATTTCAATATTACAAACAGACACTCCAATTTTATTTATATGTATAGATAGAATTTTAACACATTCCCGTTTAATATAAAGTAAAGCAGAGTTTCTGTTATGGGTACTACACAATTGATATAAAACCTTAAATTTTGTTTTTAATAAATTCGAATTCAAAAATAATTTATTCATGTAGGACATTTTAGCCGATTATGAACGTCAAATTTTTCATATTATAATTTTTATAAAACACCCAAACCGATATAAACACTCAGTCATATGAATACAAATGTTTGTTCCGTGCGAGGAATCGAACCCGCAACCATTGCAAGTAAACCTGTCTGTTAAATAACAAGACCATCGAGGATGTTTATTAAAATATCCATGTTACATTTTATTCGTAGGACACTTAATGTTTGTCTCCATTTGGTACTAAATCATTTAACGAAATTATTAACTTCATCATAATTAAATAGCATAAAACAAAGTCGCTGTCGCTGTCTGTCCCTATGTATGCTTAATTCTTTAAAACTACGCAACGGATTTTGAAGCGATTTTTGAATAGATAGAGTAATTTAAGAGGAATGTTTATATGTATAATGCGAGTAACTAGTTTTATTACAAAACGCAGTGAAAAATACGATTACGTCCACACATATTAATCGAAGTCTGCGTCTTTGTATATTCCCAATAATCTCATAAACTCCTGCACGGATTTGGATGCGGTTTTCATCCATAAATAGAGAGACTCTTAAAGGTTTAGGTGTATTAAAGTTAAAGTTAAAGTTCTGTGTAGTTTGACCGAAATCGTCAGTCTAATACATATAAATAAAATTGGAGTGTCTGTTTGTAATATTGAAATAACCATTTTTTACTACATGGTTATGAATATAAATAGGACACATACACCAAAATAATATTTTTTACATTTTTGTCTGTCTGTTTGTTCCGGCTAATCTCTGAAATGGCTGGACCGATTTTGACGGGACTTTTATTGGCAGGTAGCTGATGTAATAAGGAGTAACTTACGCTACTTTTATTTTAGAAAAATAAAGTTAAACTCCACGCGGACGAAGTCGCGGCTACAGCTAGTAATATATAGTATAAAACATCAAATTATGTCCCGGACGAAGTAGCGACAGGCCATTAGTGTTTTATGAAGCACTGCCGGCTGGGTATTTAAAAAAATATATTTGAAACGTAACAAATTCTCGGCTGAATAGATTCTGTACGAGGGGAAAGGCGACTTACTGCTTACCAAGTACCTTATACGTACCCAACTCACCCCACGCTCCATTGTGACGCGGTACCTTTATTTGTATCTTTGTGACCCTCAACATTTAATAGCGGTCAGGAAGTAGAAATTTCTAGAAATTCCACACAAACTATGATCGAACTTGACGTTAAATCATGCAATAGCAGCCAAGTAGTAGAAATTTCTAGAATATTCCATACACTACACACTAAGGTAGAACTAAACGTTATTTAAGCGGTCGGGAAATAGAAATTTCTAGAATATTCCATACGCTACAAACTTAGGTAGAACTAAACGTTAATTAAGCGATCATGAAGTAGAAATTTCTAGAAAATTCCATACATTACAAACTCAGAGAAAACTAAACGTTAATTAAGCGGCCAGGAAGAAATTTCAAAAAATTTACATACTAATTATGGTACAACTAGACGTTAAAACATCCAATAGTGGTACAAGTAGTAGAAATTTCTAGAATATTCCATACAATACAAACTAAGGTAGAACTAAACGTTATTTAAGCGGTCAGGAAGTAGAAATTTCTAGAAATTCCACACAAACTATGATCGAACTTGACGTTAAATCATGCAATAGCAGCCAAGTAGTAGAAATTTCTAGAATATTCCATACACTACACACTAAGGTAGAAACAAACGTTATTTAAGCGGTCTAAACGTTATTTAAGAACTAAACGGTCATGAAGGAAATAGAAATTTCTAAACGTTAATTAAAAATTCCAGACTACGAGAAAAAAAAACGTTAATTTATGGTAGAACTAGACGTTAAAACATCCAATAGTGGTACAAGTAGTAGAAATTTCTAGAATATTCCATACAATACAAACTAAGGTAGAACTAAACGTTAATTAAGCGGTCGGGAAATAGAAATTTCTAGAAAATTCCATACAAACTATCGTAGAAGTACACGTTAAAACATCCAATGACGGTCAGGAAGTAGAAATTTCTGGAATATTCCATACAATACAAACTAGGTAGGTAAGTAAAATCTTTTGGACAGAACTACATTCTAAATCTATCAGGGAAAACAAGAAATGCATTAAAATTACTTGTTAATTGATTGAAGTCAATGATCGACTTTATTGGACGAGTTCGGTGGTCTAGCGGTTTACCACAACGCTTTACTTCCGATGGTTGCGGGTTTGTTTCCTTGCACGATAGAAATATTTGTATTCATGAGTATGATTGTTTGTGTCACTTTGGGTCTTTTCTATGTATTTTTTTTTATAACACAGGGGACAAACGAGCATGCGGCTCACCTGATGGTAAGTGATTACCGCCGCCCATGAGCACCCGCTACACCAGGGGAATTGCAAGTACGTTGTCGGCCTTTTAAAAAGGAATAAGTTTTTTTCTTGAAGGTTTCAATATCGTATATTTCAGTATGATGTTTGTCTGGGTGTTTACTATGTATGTTATGTAGGTATGTATTTACAAAAAATGCATCTAAGTACCGATTTCTATCAATTGTCTATTACCCATAACCCAATTGTCATCTAGCTTTTGTTATGGGTACTTGACAACAGATAGATTTACTTTTTTTATAAATACAAACATAATATAAGCAAAAAAAAACAACCAGATCGATTCAAACAATCATACTTCAAATAAAAAACATTTCTAGGTACCATAAGAGGAATCGAAACTACGACTATCGAAGACGGTGTGCCAAACCGCTAGACCACCGAGGCCGTCATTCCCATTTCGGATACAACACATGTATTGTAATAAAATCAAGTACGTCCATTCAGAATGGGAGAGAAACCGGCGGCAATAGTAAATCTTGAACCCCGGTCCATTGTCCTCTGTGGCTCTTTCATTCATTGTCAATGGCCATCAATTCATCATTGAACCCATAACCAGGGGCTTTGGCCACTTATTCGTCAGCTATTTTCTGGCACTCTTCAGATTTTTACTTTATTTCGTTTATTATAGTATCTGTATTAATTTATTTTTGTCAATTTATTTCCATAGTAGATATTTATACGGTACGATGAATTTACGATATTCCTTTAAAATAAGTTTAAACCTTCTAGCTTCAAAAATGACGA